AGGGGGCAGGGGGCAGGGGGCAGAGGGCAGGGATTGAGCCTGTGAATGAGGCACCTGCCCTCGGAATCAAACCTGAGACCTTTCAGTCCGTGGGCCGAGACTCTAACCACTGAGCAAAACAGGCCAGGGCCTGGATTATTTTAAAGGCAAAATCCCATTAAAGAAGTGTAGGCAAAAAAGCCGTCTTTGGTTATTTCATCAACTAAGGAAACTCCTGCTATCCAGAAGGGTAGGGTCCACCTGGAACCCTGCTTGCTGCTATGTTCACACATGTACACAACATGCCATCAATGTGTCTTCCTTCTTCCTCTGATTGTTTTAAAAATCATTTTATTAATGAAGCCTTTTAAACATAAATATATATGGAATAGAAGAATAAGGATTACAAAAACAGCTTTTACTGAAATAAAACACTTACTTACAAGTATATTCATGATATATTTCAAGGTAGAAAGGTTTCTTGTTTTGCCCTTCTCAGAGTACAGGTGGAAAAAAGGAAAACACAAAGGAATAGTAGTTTTTAGCCTGAGGTAAAAAGACAGCACTGGTACTAAAAATAGAATCAGTCTCCCGACTTCCAGCATTTATACTTTATCCCTTTTAGGCCACAATGCTTTGATGTAATGTCCAAATTTAAAGAAAAAACTTAAACCATTACTTTTCAATGGGGAGCATTTTTTCAGACTAAAAGGTTCACCACAAGACTTAATAAATCCAATGAATGATATTTTAATATTTGCACCATCCCCTTGGCCATCACTGAGTTCATCCTTCACCATGATCAACTCCAGGAGAGCAAGAGGTCTATTGATTTTCATGTAATACAAGAAAATATTACATTTGCTTAATTGTTACAAAGTGAGCACATCAGACAAGAAATCAAGGCTCTATTTAATGCTGCAAGCAGCAGAGAATTACAGAGATCAATAGGGTAGTTTGTCAAAGATGTTCTCCAAGGAGACTTACCTATCACTATATGGACAAGAAGTCACACTGACTATAGCTATTGAAAAACAGGTAAGCAGAGTCAGCAGTACAAATTATCAGAAATCAAACAGGCCAGTGTGGAAAGAAGTGCAACTCTACTGAAAAGCTGTATTTATAGTTTGGTAATTAAAAACCATTTTATCAGCCTCGTGTTGGGACCAAACCTTTACAACAAGTATTGACAGACCAGTGACAATGAATGAGCAGTATTTGATTTAAAACTTATGAGCTATAGTTATTTAACTTGGCCCATCACAGAGGAAATCAGTTCTAGCCTTCCTTGCAAAATGCTAATAGTCAGTTTTATTATTAATGAAGCTTAAAGTAACACTATCTCCTTTGTGTAAGCCATTCATTTGACTAGTATCAAGTATATTCTTCTGGACTAAATATATTGGCGTAAGTACTTCTTTGATTAAAGTATTACTTAGAAATGCCTTTAGATGTTAACAGTACATATGTTTGAAGAACACTTCGCTCTCTGTAGCTCATTTGAAATGACTACCTTTAACAAAGCCATTTTGAATTACTTATTCTGGTGCTTTCACCTCAATCACTTCCACTCACTTTCTCTACCAATTTGCCAGAAGCAAGCACCCAAAATGTTGGTTAGATTGAATTTTATAAAATATTTTGCTACAAAAAAATGTGTAAATGTTGTAGAGTATCAGCAACACATTAACATAAAATGATATATAATGTATGTTTGTAATTATGGGAGAGATCATAAATCTTAAACACCCATTGGTTTAGAAATTAAATTGTTCTACTTAGTTCTCCCTAAATTACTCCAAATTTCCGAAATTTACCATTTGTCTGGGTATTTTGTAACTACCCCCAAGGATAAATTTTTTAAATGACTTTGCTTTCAAAAATGCAATTAACTTAATAAAATTCTAATGCAAAACTGCCATCAGGTCTTTAAAATTTCAGCCCACTTCCCATTGCCAGTAAGTCTATGGATATGTACCATTTCAGCTAATTGCTTTTATAAACAGTTATCAAATTTATTTTCCTGGGTGCTTCTGGATCTTAATTGTTCTTACAGCTTTATCAGCATGCTATTTTAACTTTTAATAAGTCTTAATTTCATTCATCTTGCTGCATTTACATTAACCAGTTCTTATAGTTGGTATTGGATTCTTTAGGCAGCAAGAAAATAACGAACAGAATAGACACAGACTCATAGAGAACAAACTGACAGCTGTCAGAGTAGAGGTGGTCTCGGGGGCTGGGTGAAAAAGGTGAACGGATTAAGCAAAGAAAATCTCAAAGACACAGACAATAGTATAGTGATTACCAGAGGGAAAGGGGGTCGGGGGAGGTAGAAGAGGATAACGTGAGAATAAATGGTGAGGGAAGGCAGTTTGACTTGGGGCGGTGAACACACAATACAATATACAGGTGATGTATTACACAATTGTATATCTGAAACCTACATAATTTTATTAACCAATGTCACCCAATAAATTCAATTAAAAAAAGTTTCAGTATTATCCCCAGATCTCTTATCCAGGTAAATGGCTTTAACAAATTTCCATTTAAAATCCTGGCAGCTGAATGGTTTAGATTTCAGATTGCCATTTAATTCTCATCATTATTGGACTTACCAGTGATATTATCTCTAAAATATATCCTAAAACCCCCTACTTCTTTTTCCAATGTTATATAAAAGGTTGTCCCCTTCCTTCTTTGTGTGGGTGTCTATATTTTCTCTTCAAAGAGAATTTAATACCTAACTATAGAATCTATATATGTTATAATAATTTTCATCTGTAGTTTAATCTAGTCCTAGGAAAAAATTTGGTGTAAGCGTCATGTGTTTCGAGTTCCCATTGGCTAGACAGAGTATGTAATATGTAACAATGTATGAAAAGCTTTGCCTCTTGAGGGCCATGATTCATCTTGAAGAACCAGACTCCAAAGGAAAACAAGGTGTTTGCAAAAGTTTTATTTTAAAGGATCAAAAATAAATATTCCACATATACACAAGAGAAAATCCACTAACATTTATGTTCTCCAATGTACACTTTCAATACATGGCACCTTCATCTTCTTTATTTAGAAAATAAACTGTTATTGGTCCGTAACTGGTATGCACAGTCTCTGTGACTCTAGCAAATAACCAGGAGCCAAGTCCATATAATAAAGTTGGAATACCTAAAAAACAAACGAGCACGTTATTTCTGAACATCAATGCTTATTAATTATGCACCCATTATTTGTCATGAGACAAGTGACATAGCACTCTTTAGCAATGTCAACAAATTATGAAGTTATAAAAATATAAATATTGACCCTAAGAGCTCAATTTCATGTTTGTAGAACATAGTAACAATTGTGTGAGCCTAGAGATTTTTAAACCTAAAGATACGGTTGGTATAAATTTTAATTGAAAGAACTTGACAAGCACTAGTTCATGACTTCTGAGTAATTATGAAGTAATTCTATATTCTTTTCACAAATAAGTAAACAGAATATTCATTAATTTAGTTGTAGATACTCCTGGTTGAGTTTAAATCACTAGGTCAACTTTAAGTTAGTAACACTGATGGCTAAAGTAATTTTTTTGTACAACTTAAAAGAAATTGGGTAAAATAGCTGCTTTCAAAACTAAGGCAAAACCTAACTCTAAGGAAGATTTTAGTACAATAACAGGCATGAGAAATAACCCCACTAGTATTTTTGCATTTGATTTGAAAACAATCTTGTTTCAACCTATTTAAAATAGGTACATAATAGACTCCAACATGTTTCTTCCTTGGAATATTTCCATTTGATAAGATTTTGCTGATATATTTGAGATTAGTTGCCATTTGTGATACATGAAACTAAACACATACTACACTGAGATTTGGATATGCATATGAGCATTCATATGCATATAAGACTATGTTGGACACAAACTTTCACAATTCCTATCTTTTTTAAGGCATTTATTTAAAATCAATGACCATTAGCATTAAAAACATATGTATAAAACTGCAGGCACAAGTCAATAGCAAATATTGTATGCTCTACACAAGTATTAATTTTATTTTTCCCGTGTAGGAATTGGGACAGAAAATGACAATTTAAAGGAAAAGCTATACATTTGGAAAATAATTTTCTTTCTAGTTAATAGAGAAATCAACACACAGGACTAATATTGCTAACTTTTTTCTTATTTTTCTGCAAGAGGATATTTGCTGTACTGTGTTGTTTTTGAGTGTTTAAGTGCATTGAACTATTTTGTGCTTATCCCCTGAAGCTGCATTCGAGCCACTGTAATGCCAAAGATTAATCAGGAGAAGCATCACTAGCTGGCAATGAGAAGAGACAAAAATGCCCATTCAAGCGGACACCTCTCTATTTTTAGGAATATACTGGGTCACAGCTTGTCACTATCACAGAGTTCCCTGGAACTCCTATGAAATCTTTTACAGTATATAACCTTCTTTGCCTTGGCAATATCCAAAAGAATCTCTAAATGCCCCAAGGGAATGTCACAAAATATTCATAAAAACTAGCAGCATAAAGCTATTTATAAATCATTTAACCAAAAATTTAAAAAAAAGGCAAGTGGGACAAGGGGTGAGAGAGTGGATAAGAGAAGAAAACAAAACAAGACAGAAGTGAGCAAAGAGTAGAGGGAGCAGTTGAAATAAAAAAATAAATTTAAAATGGTATCACAGTTTCAAAAGCTGAAAACCAATGGAGTGAGAAAGAAAAACAGGCTGTAGAAACAATTACTAATTTTCTAAATATACTGAGAGTAAAATATATAAAATATGCCTTTTAAACCAATTCTAAGGACATAAGGAATAGCTGGTGATACTGAAAATTTTGTTTGTTTTACAATATTTATCACAGCTTTTAGTTAAATATTGACCCTTTTTTTTAAAAAAAGCGCACAAACAGTTAATATTTTTTCAGCTAAAATGGAGGACTGATCAAAGATTACTAGCTCAATAACAACATTATCTCTTATTAAGAAACAACTAAGAGCCACTACTAGTAATGCTGTTTGATAGGGGATGGAGTTGTGATATAAGAGTCAGAAATTCTATATTTTTTTTCCTGCGGTCAGTTCAATACAATCAGGCTACTGCACTATATGGAAAGAGTTGCCATTTATAATGTGTAATTTACACATTAATAAAACATAATTTTCTTTATCTACAGTACATATGCTTTAAAGTCTTTAAGAGTCCATGAAAAATTAAATTTTTTCCATCCTGTCTGAAACATATCATAACATCGAAATGAACTGGAAAGTCAGTTCTTTGCATAATAATTCATTTTGAGTCAGTTGAACAGTAGGTAAACAAACCAGTGTCAAATTAAGCACTTAAAAAAAATTAGAACTTCGTAGCAAGTCTCTGATTACCCATTCATTCCAATGGTAAGTTGCTTTTCTTAAATCTCAATCTACTTCCCAGCAGGATACCCAGACTGATAAACCATCAGTAAAATGTCAGCTCCCAATGAAGGAAAGGCGGAGGAGAAAGAGAACAAATGGGTAAGAGAGAAGCCTTTATTTACAAAATGGAAAAATGAATTACTCTGATAATTTCTAATTTGGAAGGGAAGAAGACAAATAAAATCCTGAGTGTTTTTATCAATAGACTCTGTACTTGATGATCCAGATGGGAAATTGTACATCACAGAGTAAGAAAGAATCCTATTATCTAATTCACATTCCCTAACCTTCAGACAAAAATACAAAATAAACATCACCAAATTGGTACATTACTCTTTAAAAAGTCCAGAAATAAATTCCCTTTATCTGTATAATCCAATTTGTATTAAAGCATGCCTGCGCAGAAAGTTTTCCTTTTGATTAACTTAAAATTCTTATTCCCATGTATGGGATTTTTAGAATTTCTCAAAGACCACAAAGACCATTCAATTACTCTTCTACCTTCTCCTCCACATAAAAAAAACTACAACTGTCGTTTCTTCCTTCAAAAGGCTTTACTTTTCTATGTGAGTATATTCTGGAGATCCTACATTTCTTTGCGTTTCTTTCTACCTTAAAAAAAAAAAAGGCCCCTAATCATTAAGATGTTCCTAAAGTGTTAGGTTTTAAGTGGTAAAAACTTTTTAAAAAGGCATTTGGTTCATGTTATACTTTTTCTCCTGTTATACTTTTCCTAAGCTATTACTCTTTATATTTGGGAAGAATGATTTTTTTCTGATTCTGAAAATGCTAAACTTTTTTAAAAAAACATGTATTCTTCTTGACTCTAGTCGTCATGCCAGTCTTTTCAAATAATTGTGAATTGAACTATCTAAGTCACCTCACCCTTACAACTTGTATCAACCTCAGAATTAGGAGGCATGCTCTATATAGTCCCTCAGCCAAACAATAAGACATTTATTTAAAGGATTACACATTGCTAAATAACCTGCTCCTTACTGGACTGAACCTAGGACAATCCCAGTGGAGCAATGGCTCAAAAACCCCATGACTGACATATGTGAGTTACTATATGCAAAAACATACATACCATACTTAACTTTAATGAGTGACCAGGCGACGTAACATTAGTGCAGCTGCTTTAGCTTTAAGTCTAGTTTTAAAAAACTGGGCTGGCAACATGGTTCAGCTCCCATGTCAAGATTCTGAATTACTAAAATCTGGACTAGTTTGGTATCAGCTATTAATAGGTTCAAAACATCTTGAGGCCTATTTTTCACTGACCTATAAAAGATACCTCATGTCAATGTTCATGCCTCCTCTGTCATTAACCAAAAGAAAACAGACATCCAGCAAGAGTAAATACTCTCAGAATTAAAACAGTCCCATGAAAACATACAAATATTAAAGAGGCAGAGTCTTTTAAATACCTTTTAGGCCTAGCACCTGAGGAAACTAATATGACTGGTGAAAACCTTTAGTGCTTTTAGTGAAAGGAACTTGCGGAGATTTCATATAAAGAAAACAAAGAAACTTAAAAAAGTAGTTCCAGTTTTTGGAATATGAACGCACGCACAAAGTGATGCTCATGGGGACAAATGCTACCATGCTTACACCCTCCTTACTGCCCAATGTAGGGGTCCTTCCCGTTAAGAACTGCAGGAAGAGCTGCAGGAAGTGGGGATGCAATGCCCGGTCCCCAGGTGGTCCCTCACACCCGCCTGCGGATAACGCCCACTTTCCGGGGGACCATTCAGTAGCAACAGCTTAGCCCTGATAAGCACCTACTGGGTGTGGAATACAGAAGACAAGAGCCAAGGCCAGCGCCAGAAGGGTGCAGTGTGGGGGGCCGCAGAGGCAGTGTCTGGGAGACCCAACAGCAAGGGGCGAGCATGGCGAGAGCGTGCGCCAGGGCGAGCCCGCACGGGGCCGAAACAGGGCTTCTGCACCAACATGGTCTGCCCTTGGGCCGGGGTCCCGGCCTCCGAGCGAGAGGGTCTGTCACTGTGCTTTGCAAACAGTGGGGCCATCGTCGGCGGGACGAGCTTCACCCGCCCGGGCCACTCACCGAGATTGACGACCTTGAGCGCCGTGAAGAACCGGTCCTGCTGGGCCAGGTCCTGCCAGGGGGCCTTGGAGCAGTGGTACTTGATGAAGGGGAAGCAACCGGTGCGCAGGACGTGATAGTTGGCGCCCTGCACCGGCCAGTTGAAGTGCGAGAGGCCGAACTGGTCGTTGCGGACGGCGCTGTAGGGCACGCAGAAGGAGGTCCAGTGCGGCAGGCGCCGCTGCAGCAGGTGCTGCGTCAGCACCTCGGAGGCGCGGGGCTTCGGGCGGGAGGCGGC